TCCGGCCTGCAAAATGCATCCGTTCGCCGAGAAACCAAGCATGCATCAGATGCCTTTGCTGACCTAGGTGTTGATTCACGTGAAGCCCAACATGGCAATGTCAGAAGTGACATGGATGAAAGGCAGCCTCTTTCTGGTCCATCAGTTTCCACAACAAAAGCCAAGATGAATGACAGGATTGCCAAAGGCAAAGGTGGACACATACTAGCGAGCATTGCCCCTCATGACCAATCCTTGCCGACAAGCATCAAACCGGTGAAAGAAGCCTCGCAAGCAATGCAAATTACAGCCTTTTCCACCAATGGAGGGGTTACAGGCTTTGAAACCAGCAAAGCACCTGATTCACCGCCATCACTCAAGCGACCGGTAGAAGAGAGTGCAAGCAACAGCACAAAAAGAGCCAAGCTTGACAATCCAAATGCACCAGACCGAGTGCACCAAGACGGAGAACACCACCAAAATGAGCATCAACAAATATCCATGCAACAGGTCGAGCCTCCTGAGTCACAAATTGCCAACACCAAGACTTGCTGGATTGCTCATGAGAACGAAACCATGTTTCCCATTGCCGTTTCAACTGAGTCCACCATTGGTCAAGTAGTTTGCACAGAAGCAAAATTCCAGCACCTCTGGAATCATGGCGATCACCCTTTCAAAGCAGTTAATGGGGTGGGGTTCCAATTGTCAGTGTCCGAGATCATGCCAGACCATCAACTCCTAATTGTTCAGCATGGACATAACATTGGAGACCCAAAGGGCCAACCATGCCTGGATGGAATGAAACGTTCCCAAGCCCTTTGGCATCAGAAAGGATGGGTTGCGATGGATGAAATGATCTTTTACCTTCAGACAATACATGTTTCAGGGACAGCAGTCACCACCAGCCCTTTGGACTTGAGGCAAGAAACAGAAAACCCAAGAATCTTGGCAGATTGGATCCTCACGGCCGTTGAGAGCGCGCAGGAGTCCAAACAAATGAAACTCATGACTGCGGGTTTGTTCAAAGATCACTGGTTTCCAATCATGGTTGAAGTAGTCAATGACAATTTCACCATCACAACAACATATGATATGACGCCGGCAGTAACAGCATGGATCAAGGCTGAGATGCTGGAAGAATATCAGCAGGCAAGTGGAACACACATGCCCCATGCGTTTGCCAATGATTGTGGATTTCAGACCATTGCATGGATCATCAACCAAGCATTGGATCCGGACAGCAACCGTGCAATCTCTCCCGATGAAGCTGAGTCATGGAGAAAGAATTTTGCTCACCATCTGGTCTTGTCAGGAGCACATGATCCACCAGTATATGCTTTGCCGCTTGGAGGAACATCTGACCAGCACTTGCCAGCACTACGAGAACTCCTCGAAAAGCACGGAGTGAATAGCAACAGGTCATCACAAGCTGCACAAGCTTTGACGCAAAAGCTGGGAGCCGATGTGATCCAACGCACATTACAATCACCAAAGCCATGGCAGGACTTGAAAGCAAGAGCATCACAGTTGAAGCCTCCTTTTCGAATTGTCTTGAGTGAAGAACTTCAAGCCAGTATCGACAGCAAAATCGCATCGGGACAAGCCGTTGGCAGAAAGCAACACAAAGCAAAACAATCCAAGCCGCAGGAACCCCAGCGCCTCATTGCCGATCAGGTCCAGATCCCCAACACGATCTTCCAGCAAGCCGATGGAGTCCTTTTGCAACAGATTTCCCCTAGCCAATTCAAAGCCCAATGCAAAGGGATCGCGTGTGTATCCTTTGATGATGCTACACCCTTCCTGCAGTTGAAAGCGCCACTCACACAGGAAGGCCTAGGTTTGATTGTGCTTGACCATGATGATCCTCGCCTGCCATCGCATGATTTGGTACGTTTCCCAGCCACCTGCAAATCTACGGGTGAACCAATGTTGGTCATGGGAGCTCTTTTCCAGCTAGGCCAGAAACGAGTTCACAGAGCAACACCACAATCCGCAACCAAGATTGAGGAAGTGGAAACACGTGTCATCCGTGCACTGGTGTTTCAGGATCAGACCAAACTCAAATGGACCGATATCACGGACAAGCCGGTGCGAACTTTGTTTGCTGAAAGTGAGTTCACCGCAAATCCCGATTCCATCGTTGACGTTTGGGACCGCCAGTATGTGACAAAACAGTACAAACGATGCAAACCAGAGGAAGCAGAGATCTTCATTGTCACTTTCCGTGTCAAGTGTCCTGCCCATGAAGTCATCCTAGACGCCAGCGGTCAAGCAGGGAAGTACTTTGAACCGCGTGATCATACGGGTAGGTCCCCAGACACATCCTACAAAGTAATCTGGATGCCACGCAAAAATTTCCAGGATGTCATGCTTGCCAAACAAACCAGTTTGCACCCAACTTGGTTAGTTCGCAGCGGGGATCGTTTTGGACTGAGAACCCATTGTGAATTTGCAAAGGATATCCATGAACAACACCGCCCAGACGTGGATTACATGGCAGGAGAACAGATGACCACATACCGTGTTGGACCACTGCCTTTTGGTACCACCAAGAGCTCTCTACAGAAGCTCTACAAGGAGTGGGGGTGGACAGCACGCCCCGGCCAACCTCTGGGACAAAGTATTGGGCAGGAAGGTGTCTTCTGGTCAACCCAATCCAGTGAAAACCCTTCCCACTGGGTATACTCCCTGGAACAAGGAGATATTTTGATCTCACCGATCAAACCGCACAAAACTCAGGCCAACAAAGTTCCCAGCCAAGGTTTGGTAGCGTCCAGACGGACCATCCAATCAATGACACAGGTACCAGAAACAGACAAGAGCAAACCTGCCACAGATCCATGGCTGCAAGCCGACCCGTGGAGTCAAGGAAGTGGTTTTCCTCATGCCTTGACACCTGCCCAATCTGCCGCCATCGAAGCATCCGTTGCCAAACATGTCACCGCAAACATGAAGCCCCACAAAACCGGGGATGTGGATATGGAAGGGGTGAATGATCAGAGGGTTGATGAGTTGGAAACGAAAGTCCAAACACTGCAGCATAATGTGAACCAACTGACATCCAACCTGAATGCCTTCCAATCCCAACAACAACAGCACAATGGACAGATGAGCTCCCAGATTGTTGCGGTGAAGAACCAAGTGGATGCACAGCAGTCCAGCCTTCAAAAAATGCTGGAGTCAAAGATGGATGATCAGATGAGCAGGATAGAAGCGCTTTTAAATAAGCGTATGCGTCACGGCGAGTGACACACAATCCATGATTGCATGCCAAGGTGCCATCCGCGCACTAGCAAATTAATGGTTCATTTGACCATTGACGGGATTTACATTAGGATTGGTGAAGCTTTGAACCCCGGCCCTGTTCAACCAGAGCTTATCCTAGGAGCCATCAATCCGAATGGGATAATGCACAAGTTGGATCAACTCCAGGAACTCCCAAGTTCCACATGTACAATTTATGGAGTTTGCGAATCCCACTTATCAAAACCAGGTATTGCCAAGTTTCAGCGAAGCCTAAAACTGGTAAAAAGCCATTTTCGTTTCCATGCCGGAGCTCCAGCTCCATTGCGGAGTACCTCTTTCACTGCCATTGGTGGCAAACACACAGGTACAGGGTGGCTTTCCAACACACCCACAAGACCCTTGCATCCGACCTGGTCAGATGACGATTGGAATGAAGCCAGATTTGCCATGCACTCATTTCTTGTCAACGACCAGTGGTTGACAGGAGGGGTCTTCTATGGATACGCACAACAAGCCGCCACACAGGAAGGTAGGAACCACACAAATGCCTTGATGGAAAAAGTGGTAGATAGGTTACTCATGGCCAAAGGAAAGCGATTCCTTGTGGGTGACTTTAACCAAGAATATGATGTGCTCGAACAGCCAAAGCGACTATATGACCAAGGATGGAGAGAGTGCCAAGTCCTCGGAAAAGAAAAATACGCCCGACCAATTTCAAAAACTTGCCACAAAACTACTACGAAAGACTTCATTTGGATTAGCCCGGAATTAATCCCTTTCTTCCATAAAGTAGAAACTTGTGATCAATTCCCAGATCACCTTACGCTCTTTGCTGAGTTCACAAACCTTGGTAAACCCCCTAAATCTTTTGTTTGGAGGCAGCCACGTGCCATTGACTGGTCAAAAGACATTGGCATTTTGCCAGAAACGTCCACCCATACCAATCCAGATGATTGCACGCAAAAGCAGCTTGAAGCCATTGCTAAAGGGTTTGAAGATGTCGTAAATGACAAAATGATCACTAAATCCCAAAAAGGGTTACAAACTTGCCAGCGGGGCAGATCCCTCACAACGCAGACGAAGGTCATTCAAGACCACACCAGGCCACTCCAACCCACCAGGCATGGCCATGTGAAGCCTGAATATCATGGTCAATGCCTCAGACACCAACAGTGGTATAAACAAATGAGAAGACTAGAATCCATCAAGCGCCTTATTCACAGCAATAATTTTGCTTCACAAAATCAGCAGATACATGCCCAACGTGAATGGAGAAGTATAATCACTAGCTCCGGTTTCCCATTCGGTTTCCAAAATTGGTGGAAAAATGCCCAACCATGACTGCGGGTGCTCCCCGGGAACTGGGATGGCAGATACCCACCCTTCACGAAATTGACCAAATTGTTTCTATATTTGAAGCCAGCTTTAGGGACTTTGAAAAAATCCTCATCCGCGACCTGCAGAATACCGCAAGAGCCAATCGGGTCGCCAACCCAAATCGAATCTTTGCAGACATTAAATTGCCTACAGCTTCCCCAGTCGAAATATTAGATGACTCATGCAGCTGTGAAGTTTTGGACATAGACCTTGAAGATAACTCCATAACCCTGTCCAATAATCCCCAGTTTGATGATAGTCTACCAATCATCTCCCCAGATGGATTGATTGACCCCATAATCTGCTCCGATGACAAAATTTGGGCTGAAAAAGTTGACCATATTCAAATCGGAACCACCTTGCGTCAAGAAAAGTTTGTAGGAGACCTGGAGGAGCTCTTCCGGAGATTCGGTGATGAGTGGCGGAAACGTTGGGACCGACATGTGGAGATGCCAGTTGACTATTGGGATCCAGTTGTAGCACACTTCACTAAGAACACACCACGAGGAGATCCCATGCCACATACCAAAATCAGCCTGGACACCTGGTACAACACACTCAAAAAGAAAAAGAGCCGGTCCGCCGTCGGACCAGATGGGTGGTCCCGGCAGGACCTACTACACATGCCGAAGTACCAAACACAAGTACTTCTCGACCTCCTATACGCCATTGAGTGTGGTAAGGAGTGGCCATCATCCCTACTGGTAGGACTAGTCCATAGTCTAGAAAAAATCCCAAACGCCTCAAAAATTTCCCAGTACCGGCCTATAACCCTGTTCAGTGTTATATATCGATGTTGGTCATCCATCAGGTCTCGTGAGATTCTTAGGCATGTTTCTCGATACGCCCCAACAGGATGTTTCGGAAATGTTCCAAATAGATCGGCATCGCAAGTCTGGATGGGAGTTCAAACTGCCATTGAAGCAGCCAATCATGATTCAACAACAATCTCAGGGGCTATAGTTGACGTGGTTAAATGTTTCAATCATCTACCACGCATCCCGATGATGGAGGTTATTACACATTTAGGAGTTCACCCCAACCTGGTATCAACGTGGTTTCGGGCACTACAAGGGATGGTCCGCCGATTCAGCATCAGGGGGTCAGCTGGACCACCCATAAAATCCAGCACAGGATGTGCGGAAGGTTGCGGATTAAGCGTGGTAGGGATGTTTGCCATAAATTGCCTCATCGATTGTTTCATGAAACACCGAGCCCCTGAAGTCAAACTCTTGTCTTTTGTTGATAACATGGAAGTTATCTCCAACAGGGCACACCTGACACGAGAAGGTTTGTATCAACTAAGGAGAATCACTGAACTTTTAGACATTCAACTCGACGAAAAGAAGACAGTTGTTTGGTCAAATGATAAAAAGGAAAGGAAATACCTCCGAGACAGTGAGCACCAAGTGGCAATGTGGACACGTGAATTAGGAGGACACGTACAGTTTTCCAAACAAATGACAAATAGTGTCATCACTAACAGAATCAAGAATTTCAAGTCCAGATGGCCCGACATTGCCAGATCCCAAGCACCGTACACCCAGAAACTGAAAGCCATTAAAATGGTGGCATGGCCCAATGCCCTTCATGGAATAACCTCGGTCCACTTAGGTGATGAACACTATGAACACCTGCGTACTGGAGCACTGCGGGGACTTGGGGAACATATGTGGGGGGCATCACCCGCCATACACCTTAGTCTAGTGGAACATCCTTCGGCCGACCCTGGTTTTCATGGAGTCCTCAAAACAGTCATGGACTTCCGTTCCATGACAGAAGCAGATGCCTGCATTCCAGTATTGACCAAACTCGCTGAGCCCAATGACAGGAAAAAACCAACAGTAGGGCCGTGCAGTGTTTTGCTGCAGAGGCTGCATGCAATCAACTGGCACTGGGATGATGATACCTTTTGGGACCACAATGGTTTCGCAATTGACTTATGGCAGCAACCAATACAAGACATCAGACTGCGCCTGACAGAAGCGTGGCAAACCCAAGCGATGCATCATGTTGCACACAGAGCCTCATTCCAAGGGATTTCCCAAACTTCACCATACCTTACTACAGCAAATTTCCCGCAAAATTCCAGTGATGCCAGCATACTTAGGAAATGCCTCAACGGCACCTTTTTCACTGCTGACCATCAAAAATATCGGGATGCAGATGAAAGTACAGATTGCCCTTTTTGCCATAACGCAGACAGCCAATTTCACAGACATTGGGAATGCCCAAGCCTGGAAGATGCCAGAAAATCTATGCCTGAACACCACCGCCAACTGGCCATGCAGTCGCACCCTGCGACTTTCAACCACGGATGGATTCCAGCACCTGCAGCATTGCCTTATTTCCGACAAGCACTTCACAATATTCCTGACAACACCCATAATTTAATTATTCCCGAAATAGTCCCACCCACTTTAGACATTTTCACAGATGGGTCATGCCTTAACCCAGCCTGCAAAATGACCAGACTAGCATCTTGGGCAATTGTCCTTTACACGCCAGATAACCAACATGATTTCACACCAGTGGGAGCAAGTGTATTGCCGGGCCTGATCCAGACAATCACTAGAGCTGAACTGACAGCTGTCATAGCTGCTTTGATTCTTGCGGATCGTCTCCGTAAGCCATTTCGGTTGTGGATTGATAATGACTTTGTAGTAAATGAGTTGCGACAGGCTTTTGAAACACCTGATTTTTTCTTTTCCAAGATTTCTCACAAAACTGCCAATCATGATTTGCTATTGACCCTTCACCTGTGGGCCCACCGAACCAAACTCTTGTGTAAGGGAATTCTCAAAGTTTACAGCCACCAAGAGAACTATGAAGACGCAGACCCAGCTACTGAATTTGCAATCGCAGGTAACGCAGCGGCAGATGAGGCAGCAGGGAAAATCTGCCTTAGTTTTCCTCATGTACACAAACTATGGAAAGTGGTATCCAAGCAGGTTCGAGAGTTAGTAGCATTTCGTTGTTCTTTGCACACCATGTTTGTACAAGTTGGGAATCTTGCTTTGCGTTTAAAATCTCACCAGTCACGGGGAGTCTCTGTGGCACAAGGGCCGACCCACTCAGCTGAAACCATAGTGATGTCTCACTGGCGAGTTAGCCATTTGGGTGCCCCGCTTGCACCCTACATCACTGAGGACTGGGGTAAGATAGCGCAATGGATAGATACTATTCATGAGGATGGACAACCGATCCAGCTGTGGTCTTGGTATCAGCTTTATCTTGATCTTCAGGTATGTTACCCAAACACATCCCCATGGTATAAGAAAACTGTTAAAGCATGGCAAAATGGCCGAGATTGCCCGACAGTGCCTTTCAGGAAAAGGTGCCGATGGTTCATGAATTATGTCACACGCACATGGAAACACTTGAAGGTAGAGCCCCCCCTGCGACTTTGCAGGCCAACCTCTGACGTCTTGCAGTTCTGGTGCCCTTGTGTGACGGTCATGGTAAGTCCAGAACGAACAGCCGCAATTGACCAACAACTCGCGAGCTGCCGTGCACGATACGTGGAGTGGAAGGATCTCGATTTCTTCGGCATGTAGAAGTTTTGGGGGCTCAATGTAGTCCGCTTCGGCCGTCTACTTTGAGATCAGCAGGAAAAGTGATGGGAAAAGTGAGGGATAACTTTAAGGATTTTTAAGGTGGTCGTCCTCAATTTGATTCAATTTGCATGCCCATACATGCTATCTATCTATCTATCTATCTGTCTATCTATCTATCTATCTGTCTATCTATCTATCTATCTATCTATATATATATATATTATCTTTAATTATTTATTTATACACTATAACATTGAAACTATGCACCTGAAAGGTATCTTCCGCTGGATATGTGTCAACATACGTTCCAGGCGCCTTGGCTCTAGATTTTTGGCGGCTGTACTGCCCTTCTGGCCTTCTGGTCAGATTTCCATGGCCCATGGGTAAAACCCATTGCGTCAACCTTGGATGGCTAGTAATACTTTGATTTGCTGCAACTATTGATCATCATTACTTAATCATTAGTGACCATCATCAACCATCATCAACCATTGGGAATATATGGCATACTTTGGCACCATTTCATGCGAGAGTCGAGCTATAAATGGAGACCTGATGGCGACCTGTACTTTCACCGAGTTTAGCATCAAAGATTGGCCTCAGGGCATCGCAAAAAACCGGAGGATCCAGTGCGGCCAAAAGGATGCTGCGAGAGGATGTTCCGGTTGGTGCTTCATGCCAGTTAGAAAAGGGGTGTTACAACGTGTGACCGCCTCACATTACATATATTGTAGATTATTGTAGTGTTTGTTTCCCATATTTTCCTCCAAACCAAGTTGAAAACAGTGATAAGGGTCCCATAATGTCCCATATGATCCCAATTCCCAAGAACTTTCATATTTCTGGGATAGGTCGAAGCCAGCAACTTTTGACCCTTGAGGCTTCCTACATCTTCCTGCTTGGATGTGCAGTTCGAGAATCGTAGCTCTTGTAGCTTTACAAAACCTGGTCAGTAATTACTGGAGTATGTGTCAATTATTTCATACATGTACAATGTATACATCTTCACATGTGTATAAATATATATATATTATGTATGTATGTATGTACAAGCAAAACTATGCATACATATATATTATTATATACACACATATGTATACATGGAGAGTTTTGGAATGTAAGAACCTTTAAAAGCCCTCAGCCATTCGGATCGACGTCACTCTTTTCGGCCAGGGGTTTTACTGTGAGGCAAAGAAGGGGGTCCTCGAAGCTCCATCAAATCCAAGAAACTTCAGAAATCATTACTGTTACCCTCTGGTAAACAAACAGTTTGCTAGTGAAAATGGCCATAGAAATAGTTCATTTACCCATTGAAAATGGGGATTTTCCATAGTGATGTAAACGTTTACCAGAGGCTAGTTGAAGATGGACCAAGTGTTATTTGAATTTATAGGAAACTGTAGTGAATATTTGGGAAATCACCACCTAACCAACAAACATATCTATCATATCTAGTTTTTGTGAATATGAGTACGTACTTAGGCTGACCCAAAGAAGAAACCCTGGCTGCAAACATATCCATGACGTGTGGAAGTTCCAAGCGGCAACGAACCAGGTTGGGCGCGGGCTTGGGAAAAGACTCCCCTGGACCACGTGCGGAGACCCAATCAATTGGTAAGTGCCCAATAGACTTTTAGAGATCAGGATCTGAATTTTCTTATAGAAGAATCCAAAGATATTCCTGGTAAAGATATCTATGGTAATCTCTGTAAATATCACTGCTAAAGATATCTGGTATACAATATAGTTCTGCTGGATCAATGATATCCTCAAAATCACTGGTAAAACCTGTAAAAGATGGCACGCTTTGATGGCATCTATTGATATTGGATTCTTTTTTTGATGGAACACCACCAACCAAAAAAATACAAGTTGACATCTTTCGGGATTCCAACCCGACAGGTCGTTGATGTGGAACACCGGCCAAAACGCGATTGAGATAATACACCGGGTAATGATGGGCAATGCCAACCCCGAAGTACAAGACCTTCATTTGTTGAGCTGGTTACCTATATTAAAGTATCCAAAAGTCACAATTTGCTACTGACATGGTCGAAAATTCGCCCCAGCATTTCACATGTCCAGCTGCGAGGCTATAGCCCGGAGCTGCGCAGCTACAAAACCTGCTCCCCTGGCTATTCCATTGGGCTTCTCGGCGACCATGGCGCCATTCTGTCTGGGAAAATGGTCCCATGATGTCCCATGACTTATGATAGCTGATGATGTCATCTGGTTATTTAACAGTTTGCCATGGAAAATCACCATTTTTAATAGGTAAACCATCTATTTCTATGGGCCATTTTCCATGGCTATGGTTAAATAGCCAGAGGGTAGCTGGGAATGTAGATTCCCATGCTGTCAACGGAACTCTTTTGTGATGCTGTCACTGGTGGCCTTGACGGAACTTACGGAACATCGCTCTTGGAACCGTGTTTCATGCCTATGTTCCTTGGTGGTGTTGACAGGGTATGGGCGGTATGGGGTATTATGGGTCCAACCTCCAATTTGGTTGTGAATGGAATAGTGGAGCAGATCCCCCCCCTATCCATCTATCCCAGTTGGAATAGTTGGAAGCCCAAAATAAAAGGCTTAAAGCGATTATTTTCAAGAACTCCCGCCAAGAAGTTTGGGGTTACAACCCAGGTATCTTGTGTTAACCTAGCAGGGCTGGAAAATCCACAATGAGAGCAGAAGATACTAGAAGCATTTAGAAGCTGTGCATGTTGAAAATTATGCCATTGCCCTGTTACTGTGCACCCCCAACCACCTCACATTAAATACCCCCTATGAGTGGCGGCGCCAAAATTCATAGTTCCGGTACCAAACCAAGGTTGCTTATGGCTGCTTGGGATATTGATATATGTGTGCGTAATAATATTGATAAGCATAAAAAGAGTAATAAGAAACAATAAGAAGAAGAACGATATACACATATATCGATTATGTAGATATACAATATTGCTAGGGAAGGGGCTGTCAAATTTATCTGCAACCTTGGACAGGCAAAAGACACCGGGCCTTCAGTCACAGACCAGCGCCAAAGTCGGCGCGGGGGCCTGACGATGCATGGCTGGGTCCTTCGGGTCCTTGGTGGAGGGTAGGCCTGAGTTGGATTTATATGTCACGAATGGTTTATGTTTTTTCCTATGTATTTTCCATATAATACGACTCTAGATGTTTATAGACTTAGTTATGTTCCTAATTTGGTTTGTAGATGTTTATAGACTTCATTAATCTTCATTAGTTACAAACCAACTTAGCTAGCTAAGGGCACCACCATGTTTTTTTCTCGGAGCTGCAGGATGTATTTTCGACCCAGCTTGGGATCATGAACCCCGAGCTTTCAGATGGGATGGCTCAAAGACCACTTTTGACTGGGTCAACTTTGCGACTGGCTAGTGTCATACTTGATGTTTTTTACACATGTGGCACAGAGGGAGAGAGAGGGGAGCGAGAGAGAGAGAGAGGGAGAGAGAGAGAGAGACAGATGTATATTATTTATATATATATATTCATTTATTTATTTATTCATTCACACAAACTCACCACTCCACTCACCATGTTTTATAAAGAGGTCACCAGTGCAGGTCCCCAGTGAGGTCCGGGATCCTATCCCGTCCATCGCCCGGAGCATTTGCGAAGCCGCTCCACTTCCCGCAGCGGTGCCGGAACCGGGGGGCGGGAGGTGGTCCCCGGGTGATGCTCGGCGCCTCTTTTCACATGTTTAACTGTTTACCCTCTGGTAAACAAACAGGTTGCTATTGAAAATGGCCCATCTATAGTGGATTTACCCATTAAAAATGGTGATTTTCCATAGTTTTTTTGTATGTTTACCAGTAGTACCGCACAAGGCGGTGGCGGAAGTTTCAAAAATAGGAAGCCTATAGGAGGGCTTGGTTGTTGTGAATCAGGGATGGCAGAGCGAAGCCACTCATGGACTGAAAGGTGCTTGATCTCTCTCTCTCTCTCTCTTTCTCTCTCTTTCTCTCTTTTTCTCTCTGTTTCTCTATCTTTCTCTGATTTTCTACCTACCTACCTACTGATCTATCTGTCTATCTATCTATCTGTCTGTCTGTCTGTCTATCTATCTCCTTATCTATCTATCTACCTACCTATCTATCTAGCTGTCTAGTTTTCTAGCTATATGTCTATCCATCTATCTATCTATCTACCTATCTATCTATCTATCTATCTGTCTGTCTAGCCATCTATCTATATCTATCTATCGCTCCGACTATCTATCGATCAAACCGTCTCTCTATCTATCTGTCTTTCTGTCTATCTATCTATCTACCTATCTATCTATATGTCTATCTATCTGGTCTATCTGTCTAACTGTCCATCTATCTATCTATCTATCTGTCTATCTCTCCAACTATCTATCGATAAAACTGTCTCTCTATCTATCTGCCTATCTGTCTATCTGTCTATCTATCTATCTGTCTATGTATCTATCTGTCTTTGTATCTATCTATTTATTTTTTCTATCTATCTTGGTATCTAACTATCTGTCTTTAAACCTATGTATCTGTCTGTCTGTCTGTCTATCTGTCTATCTATCTATCTGTCTGTCTGTCTGTCTGTCTGTCTATCTGTTTATCTGTCTATCTGTCTATCTATCTATCTATCCATCTATCTATCTATCTATCTATCGATCTATCTATCTATGCAACTATCTATCTATCTATCTACCTACCTATCTATCTTTCTGTCTAGTTATCTAGCTATTTGTTTACCCATCTATCTATCTATCTGTCTGTCTGTCTGTCTGTCTGTCTGCCTGTCTAGCCATCTATCTATATCTATCTATCTCTCCGACTATCTATCGATCAAACCGTCTCTCTATCTATCTGTCTATCTGTCTATCTGTCTATCTATCTATCTTTCTGTCTATCTATCTATCTATCTATCTTTCTATCTATCTATCTATCTGTCTATCTGTCTATCTGTCTATCTGTCTATCTGTCTATCTATCTATCTATCCATCTATCTATCTATCTATCTATCGATCTATCTATCTATGCAACTACCTACCTATCTATCTTTCTGTCTAGTTATCTAGCTATTTTTTTACCCATCTATCTATCTATCTGTCTGTCTGTCTGTCTGTCTGTCTGTCTGTCTAGCCATCTATCTATATCTTTCTATCTCTCCGACTATCTATCGATCAAACCGTCTCTCTATCTATCTATCTATCTATCTATCTATCTATCTATCTATCTATCTATCTATCTATCTATCTATCTATATGTCTGTCTATCTATCTATCTATCTATCTATCTATCTATCTATCTATCTCTGTCTTTCTGTCTATCTATCTGTCTATCTGCCAGATTGAAAACGAAGCTCTTCTGCGAGACTTCCTCATTTTTCGAACTTAACAACATCAAAAACAAAACAATTCTGCGACACTTCTTTATTTTTTAAACCTAACAACGTCCAAAACCGCAGCAATTCTGCGAGACTTCCTCAATGTTTGAACTTAACAACGTCAAAAACAAAGCAATTCTGCGAGACTTCCTTCAAAAATGGAAAGTTGAGTGCAGCGCTGGGAGCCTCGTACCAATGTGTTTTGCGATTTTTCCACTCCACCTGTGTAAAGTACTGCGCCTGCCACTACGAAGTGCTGCACCTGTCACGCAAAATCATCTCAGCAAACCTGAAGATCTGATACTCCAAAATGCAACCCCTCTCAGGAAATGAGCGCACTGACTTCCGAACATCTCTGATGAACATGTCTTTTGTACTGCACCTGCCACGCGAAATGCATCTTTGAAGATCCTCTTCAAATGCCCCACGCCTGCCATCGTTTCTGAAATGCTGCAAAACCCTCACGTTTGGCTCGCTTTTGACAAGGTGCACAATCCTTTGCGCCTGCCACGCAAAACGACATCTGAACCTCCAAAAGTGGCGCGAACTTGTGATGTTTTATACATGTTCACTTCGAAATGTGCTTCGCGCCACAACGGCGTGCACTGTTTCGACATCTCAACTGCCAAAAGTGGTCCGCACCTGGTGTGCTTTGTACATGTTCACTTCGAAATGTGCTTCGCGCCACAACGGCGTGCACTTTTTCGACATCGCAACTTCCAAAAGTGGTCCGACACTGAGGTGTTTTGTACATTTTGACTTCTCGCACCACAACGGCGTGCACTTTTTCGACATCTCAACTTCCAAAAGTGCTCCGAGACCCAGGTGTTTTGTACATTTTGACTTGCAAATGTGCTTCGCGCCACAACGGCGTGCAATTTTTCATCTCTCGTCTGGCCAGCTGGCTCCGCACCCGCCGCTTTAGCGAGCCTACTTTTCGACCCTCCGGAGCCCGAAATCATTGGAAAACACAGTGTTTCGCGACTTTCTCACCTTTTCTCGCATCTGCATCTTCTTTCTTCTTTCTCTTCTACTCTTCTTTCTTCTAATCTTTCTCTTCTCTCTGCCTCTTCCCTGCTCTGCTTTTCATCTGTCCATATTGTCGGAAGTTTGACTTCTAAACTTCCTTCGACCAGAGGGTAACCAAGGAAAATGGATATGATTTGTTTCACCATTTTTAATGGGTAAATCTATGTAAATCTATTGTTTCTATGGCCATCTTCAACAGCAGAGTGTTAAATTCCCAGAGGGTAACCAGGGAACATGCATAAAAATTGTGAATGAAGCGACTGATGATTAAACCAGGAAAATGGAGGATAGAAGCGGTATAACTATTTGGCGGGTTTGAATATGTTGTATTCATTTTCCATCTTATTTGTGATGATGATCCAAAACGACTAGTTGAATCCAGTTAATATTTTTCAGGGGGAACAAAACCAGCAAACATTTTGTTTGCAGGTTATTCGCTTACTAACGCGGTTCCTTGTGATGCCCCCATGAGAGCCATGGCAGCACCCCAAAACATGGTTTTGGAAGATGATGCTTCGGTTTGGAGGTAGTTGTTTTTTGTTGATTCTTATCTTAGGATCTGAATCCACGGGTGTTTCCTTGGCCTTTTTGTTGGGATGGTTCACCATCCCCTGTGGACCTGCCCAACTGCACAGCGGGTGTTGCAGCACCTGCAAACTATGAAGCCATATCTGGTTGGCGGTTTGACATATGTTTTTCAACCATGGGGTGACTGGTTGAGATAGCTAGTTTTTTTTGCGGGTGCAACTGTTAAAACCACCAACCAGCTATGGTCAGCTATGCAACCATGACCATGATCGCAAACACATTGAAAAGCTACCTTTGCTTTCCGGATGTGAATTTCGAAGGATGTACATCGACCACGCGAACTGAGGATGCATCCTGACCTCTCATTCTGGAGCATGAAGAGTCCTTTGAGAGACCCATCGATATTCCAGGGTTGCAACGTAAAATGAGCTGTTTCCATGTAGCACACTTCCACCAGTGAGAATGCGGGTACTAGGATACTTGTTTGCATCCCTGATGTTATTTTGGCGATTGGCCAGATTTGGAGATACAACCCACATTGCAAGCAGTTTGGAACGCTTGTATAGGTATATAATTATTATATATATATATAATATACTGATTACTGATCTATATACATATAGATTAAAAAATGCAGATGACTGGGAATATGCCATGTATTTTCAGGTATTCCATGCAGAAATGGTATGATTACGGTCCGCTTCACATGGGCACAGGCCCTCGCTTCAGTATGCCTCGGGCTGAACGTCAGGGGGCCCAGCGCCGGGGCCACCCTGAAGGATGAAGAGCTTACGGTAAATTTCATCACGACCTCGCTGTTCTCCCTCACTGGAATCATGGTTTTTATAGGGAAATCATCCCCAAATGGCCGAACTATTCAGGTTGGTGAAAGATTACAATTTACCCATATATATATATTATCTATGTTATATATCTAATATTATATATTATATACATGTGGCTAGATATGGGAAACAACGGGTTATTGTCCATAAAGGTCGATATAGATCGGATTCTGATAATATGGGATGTATATTTGTTTGCCTATCTATCTATCTAATCTAATCTAATCTAATCTAATCCAATCCAATCCAATCCAATCCAATCCAATCCAATCCAATCCAATCCAATCCATCCATCTATCTATCTATCCTTCCATCTATCTAACCATCGATGGTTGTGATGAGAACCCCAGCAGCTTGCAGGTTGGCCCCGCCCAAGAAGTTTGCCGAGACCCAGCAGTGCTCCAGCTTGGCGATGAGTGCTGCGGATGAAGACCGTCCGCGGATGTGGAAAGTCCTAAGGGATTTGACAAAAAAATGTGGTTTTCCCATGGAAAATGGGAAGGTAACAATAAAAATGATGTTCCACGCATGCGTAACCGTTTAAACAAAAAAATAACTGAGGATTTTGATTTAACTAGTTAACCCAGCAACAACTGGGATTTATCTGCTTGTACCTTTAGGCCATCAAACATAGCAATGGACACTCACCTTTTATTGGGAAATCAACCGCATGGGTGTCAGGTTTGTTTACGTGTGTGCCAGGTTTGTTTAACTACTGGAGATTTACTGTAACAAACTTCAGCCCATGAAAGAAATACACCCGTGTTTGGTGGCGGGTTTGGTGTTCTCCTAGTTCTTGAGTTGTTTTTTTTTTTCGTTTGTTTCTCTCCAGCATGTCTTGGAAGTTTTTTTCCGGGCAGCCACGGGAGACAGCGGAAACCCAGCAACTCCGAAGAGCGGAGAGCTGCGGAAAAGGTGACATGGCTGTGGATCCGGGCCTGCGACTTCATGGTATGATGGTGTCAAGGCCACTATTCATGGGACTACAACTTGGTCATTGGTGACCCTCGATGGGCCAGAACGGGAATGACGGATTCAAAAGGTTTGGTTGCCTCATGACCCCCAACTGGGATTGTGGACCAGACACACACACGGAAGGAATCTGAATGAATGAAGGCGCGAGTCACACGTTCTCCCCACATGACATGGACCTCATTCAGATACAGTAATTATATTTAGTATGCGTTTCGGGGTTGATGAATGTACCATTTGGAGGCTGAACTTTTTCCAGGCGCAAGTGGTGACCATGGCAGTTATTCCGGTTATCCCCCAAGTTCCAGGTAGAATTGCTGGCCTTGAAAGCATTCCAAGAAATGCTTCGGCAGCAAAGTGTTCTTTGTTTATTTGTTATTATTGTTATTTGAGAATGGCCTAGGGTGTTTTTTTAAGCAAGTCAAACTAAACTAGTTAGGTTTGTGTGAAAATACGGCGTCGTAAAATCCAATGGCAATGGTTTTCTATGGTGCATCATCATTTTCCCAACAAAACATGTGTTTTTTGGTGCATTTTTACACCCCATTTTCAGATATGTTCAGAGAAAGGTATGAGAACGCCGCTCTAAAAATAGACCGAGAAGCGGAATTCATGGAGATAGTTTTTGGTAATTTATTCAAGTTTGCTATGTAGACTGTTTGTTGTAAATGGTGATGTTCCATAGCTATGTTAATTTACCAGAGGGTAAATATAAAAAGCAGACCATTTGTAGGTGATTTTCCCTGGGAAAGCAGAGATTTTCCATATCTACGTTGATTTATTGGAGAGTAAGCGGGCCCCATCATCCAACTATCCTGGATATTCCTGAACTAAACCAACTTAGCTAACGTTTCCCAGGGACACCACCTTATACTTGGGTTTGTCAGTGGGTTATAGTTCACCATAGTTGTACGGGTTACATGCCATCTTGTCTTATGGAAGTTTTTACCATATCTAGTTACGTGGTTTCAAACATTCTTTTGTTTCCATAATATATGGGATAATCCTTCCGATTGACTTTCATATTTTTCAGAGGGGTAGGTATACCACCAACCAGATATAGTTATGTTATTGAAGATATATCACCTATAAACCATAGTTATTGATATGGTTATACCCATCAATAACCCCAACTGCACCCCCCCAAGCACCGAACCCAGTGAACCCGGTCTCTCCGCAGCACCGACCCACCTGGCTCCATAACCGGTACCGCTTCAGCTTCGCGGGAGCTTCGCGGTGCGATGCCGGTCGGGGGGCCACGTTCAGAAAGTGGGGGTTTCCATAGTCATGGGGGTACCCCCATAGCTGGATGGTTTATAAATGGAAAATACCATGAAAATGGTTGGCGGTTTGGAACATGAATGTTATATATTTTACCATATATTGGGCCTGGGAATGTCATGATCCCAGTTGACGAACTCATATTTTTCGGAGGGGTAGGTCAACCACCAACCAGATAGGACTAAAATGGATGAAAACTGGGGGTACCCCCATGACTTAGGAAACCTCCATGTGGTGTGACATGATCAAAACTGAAGTTGCCCTCGAGTAATTAAACCTGTCAATGGAAAATCCCCGAACTAAATGGAGGATGTTCCATTGCCACCGGAGGGTGTAGATCCAAAATAGTGGAAACATATAGGATTATAGGATGGTCATACCGAGAAAAATACCCAGTTTCTATAGGGCTTGATTTAGCGCATATATATATATAATTGCAGGGAATCAATGATAGTGAGATGACCCTAGCCCAGAAAAACCACAACATACCATGTTTTGACCACGGCTCATGTGCTGGGTGTGTGGTGGAAAAAGTTCTGTCAACTTTTTTCAACCTTACGCGGGATGATTCCCACTTGGACTTATGTGTTTGGGATGCTTTGAAAACATCATGCAGAAGAGGTGTTTTTCAGGAAAGAAATGCACCTTGCTGTGGATCACGCTGGAGTGTCACTAGTTTTGATCCAGCAGCTCAGTGATCTACGACCATCCACTGGCTTCCATGATCTTCCCAAGGTCGAGACCAAAAAGAAGACCAAGCAGCTTGGTTTGAAACAGGACTTGGGTGCCAACATCACTAGTCAGCCACTGAAGAAGTAGCATGGAAACTATCCATTTTGGGGGGTGAAGGGCCCAAGTTTGACCTATACCCTATCTGATCTATCTGATGCTGAGGCTTCAAGGCTCGCAACCTCCTGAAGGTAGTGATGTGGGGATAGCTATGAAACAACATAAAGAGAAAAAATACCCACGAGGATAGGGATCCTTCTGCCAACCAACCTGTCGAAGTGAAATTCATTTCTATATAGAATCTTAGAAGTAGTTAGTTTTCGTGGAAAATAGTGATCTTATCAGCGTTTGTCTTTTTAAAAGCTAGTTCCCCACCTGCCAGGTGAGGGTTGTTAGATTTTATCAGAGTTGTTCTCCTCCTCCTCCTCCTCCTCGTCCTCCTCCTCCTCTAGTTTCTCCTCGACCATGTCTGCATCAACTTCCACCTCCACTTCCGCCTTGCCAACTCTTCGCCAAGCTCTTTGCCAACTCTCTTCGCCAAGCTCTTTGCCAACTTCCCAGCTCAGTCTGCACTGGGACCTCAACCTGGGACCTGCCCAGCTCAGCGTGCACCACTGGACCTCAACCTGGGACCTTCCCAGCTCAGTGTGCACCACTGGACCTCAACCTGGGACCTTGCCAGCTCAGTGTCACCGCTGGACGTCAACCAGGGACCGTCTCAGCTCAGTGTGCACCGCTGGACCTCAACCTGGGACCTGCCCAGCCCAGTGTGCACCGCTGGACCTCAACCTGGGATCTGCCCAGCTCAGTGTGCACCGCTGGACATCAACCGGAGACCTTCCCAGCTCAGTGTGCACTGCTGGACCTCAACGGGCAGATAGAATGCCAGAAGATATGCCAGATAGAATGTCAGAAGATATACCAGATAGAATGCCAGAAGATATGCCAGATAGAATGCCAGAAGGTATGCCAAATAGAATGCCAGATAAAATATCAGATAGACTGCCACAAGATATGCCAGATAGAATCCCAGAAGATTTGCCAGATAATATGCCAGAAGATATGCCAGATAGAATGCCAGAAGATT